TTTTTGGCTTCCACAGAAGAGAAGAGTCTCTGATTAGGGAGCTAGATCGTGCTTTTCTGGCCTTCACATCTTTAGTGTGGGGGTTTCATAGAACCTTGCGCACGGAGACTTTCTGTAGCTCTTTACAAGTGCCCACTTAAAGGGCACTGAGATAAACATCAGGAAACAACGGAAGAGAAACAATAACACGGCTGCTGGTAACAAAGAGCAAACACCAGGGCGGCCTCACTGCTGGGTCTCTGGGAAAGGGTGGGAAGATCAGGGAGAAAGGGCTGGGAGGTGGAGGGGCCACAGCAGGAGAGGGACACAGACAGCGTGGAGGGGACTCCTTCCTTCTCCCAGGCCACATGGAAGGGGTTCCTGTTACTCGTACCCCCTCCACCCCCTCCAGGAGGCTGGAAAAGCCCTCTCGCGATCAGTCGTTTGCGGGGAATTTTAAGATGCGTGAAATGGGCTTTCAACCGCATGTTCCTTTCCAGCCCAGGCAATCTTCGCCGGATTAAATGACGAGAATGAGGACGGGCCCGTGGAAGTCCCGCTGGGGAAAGGGTCTGAGGTGTCTGAGGAGTCCCGGTCCCGTTATAGATGAGCGCACCCCCGCCCCGAGAGCTGTGCCAGGAGAGGGGCCTGCTGGGGACCAGCCATCCTGCCTGTCCCCCAGCATCACGTGGTCACTGCCCACCCAGCAGAGACCAGGCCACCACACAGAGGTGGGCGATGGATGCGGCGGCCTTGACAAGGATCGGCGACCTTGAGCCACTCCACTTTGACCCAAACGTGTCAGGGTCCGGAGGGAGGGGCGTGTGTGGAAAGACGCAAGGGAGTGAAAACCAGGCCAGAACAGTTCTGGGTCTAGAATCCTGGAAAACCCACAACCACCACCAAAGCCAAACGGAGTTGTATATTTATAAACGCAAAGACAAAGTTTGGGAAGGAAGGAAATACACGAAACTGAGAACAGGTTACTTTTTAGGAGGAAGTGGTGGTCCAGGGTCTTTTACATCTTAGGCAACATTCTCCTGCGTCGTTTTTTAAAAAAATCTTACATGGTTTAAGTTTTTTCAAAACAATAAATATGTTTTTTTAAAAAAATGTAGAATCCTCTACATTGTGGGATGCTCTTGGACTCCCTCTGGAGCTCTCAGGGCGGGGAGCAGGGACCCTGCAGGGCTCAGAGGTGGCGCCTCCCCGGAGGGTGGCAGAGCCTCCCTCTCCCTCTCCCTCTGGGGGTGGGGGCTGCTGCCGATTTGCAGATTTCACAATGGAAACTTGCATTTTACAAATGAGAGGATCAACAGCCGGGAAATTGTATTTTTAGCTACCGTGGCTCTTTGCTTCAAAGGCGTGGGTTTCTTCTGAAACCAGGCAAACCTCCTACCAAGTCTGCCGTTTGCACGGAGCGATTAGCATAGCACGAGCAGGAGGGGAGGCCTGGCTCCACTCCCTGCGCAGGGAGGCGGGAGAGGAGTCTCTCAGCGAAGGGCCTGGGCGCGGGGGGTGCGCTGGGGCCACACGGGGTGAGAGCTGAGTCTACAGGCCATCAAAGCAGTGCACAGCCGCCACCCTCGAAGCTGCTATTTAAGCCACTTTGCCTCCTGAACCACCTTCTCCCCACGTGCAGGACAGAGGGTCCTGGGGCTGCCCTTCTGAGGGGACGGGCAGAGCCATGGCCAGGCTGCGGGAGAGGGTGGGCTCGGGAGGCAGCGGGCAGGGACTGGCACAGCAGGACTCGGATGATGAAGTCTCAGGGAGGCAGCGTCCTCCGGGTGAGGCTGGAGCAGAGGCGGCACAACTGTGGCGCGAGGACGCTACGGCTGGGTGCGCCCTCCGTCCTCCCCTGCCCCTCGGGCACTCATGCCTGTCTGGGTCTTCCTTTTTGGCCTCTCCTCTCAGGGCCCGGCTCCCCGCTCTCCCTGCCACTGCACTTGGCCTGTGGGCATGTATCTTTTTTTTTAAAAAAAAATATCTTTATTGATTTCATTCAAAGAGGAAGGGAGAAGGAAGATAGAGAAACATCAATGATGAGAGAGAATCATTGATCGGCTGCCTCCTGCAATGATGAGAGAGAATCACTGATTGGCTGCCTCCTGCACACCCCCCACTGGGGATAAAGCCTGAAACCCAGGCATGTGCCCTTGGCTGGAATCGAACCCGGGACCCCTCAGTCCGCAGGCCGACGCTGTATCCACTGAGCCAAACCAGCTAGGGATATATCTTTGATGCAGTCTCTTCTCTCCTAGAAACCCTTTAGCTGGCCTGGGAAGACCTAACATGTGAAAAGAAGCTTGAACTTTTCTCCAAACACCACAGAAATGAAATGAAAGCGGCACCCTTCCAAGAGCTGTAATTGCAGATACTCCTCTCGGGAGCTGGGCTGGAGACAGATCTCAGCGGGCAGCTGCTCTATCACACCAGGCCCCGAGCCCCAGCCTGGGGGGAGCGTGACCTTGGGCTGCGGGGGTGGGGCTGGGAGAGAAAGTGGAGGGGTTGCTATTTCAGGCCTGGCTGGCAGGAGCAGGAGCAGGAGCAGAGGGACAGGAGGGGCGGAGAGAGAAGCAGCAGCCTCGGCTCCGGCCCCTCCCTCAGGGTCCCTCAGGCAGTAGGATCACACGTCTTCCTGTGGAGGGTCAGGGGACCGGGAAATCCTCACAGATGGGGTGCACAGCTGAAGATCTGAGAAACCAATTACCCTGCTACTGGGGGGCCGGGAGACGCTGGAGGAACTGGACTGGGGGCGGCCACTCAGGCTTCAAGTGCAGGAAGGAAGTGAGGTAACTCCAGGAACTGCCAACTGTCGGCCAGGGGAGGACAGGGGCGGGGGCGGGGAGGGTCTCCTCCAGGAAAGGGGCTGAGGTCTGTCAGGAGGGAGGGGCTCAGCACACAGGAGGAAGGAAAGGCTGAGTCCCGGAGCAATGGACTGATAGGGCGGCGTCAGCTGAATTCAGGGCACCTGGAGTGAACTGGCTAAACGCAGGTCCCCTAAAAAGCCAAGCGAGTCAGGACGGGGATGTCTGGGCTGGAGGAGGTTTTAAACTTAGTCCAGGTTATCTGCTCACACCGATGGTTCCAGCAGCACTGCAACTTCTGGGACGACGTGGCAGCCAGACCCCTGCCCAGCAGGCTTCCCCAGCCACTCCTTCACCAGCCTCTGGTGTTGTAGGCTAAGAGCAGGGAGGAGCCGAAGGCACGGCAAATGAGCGAGACCCCCACACCCCACCCTGGGCCCCCTTCCCTCCTGTCCCCAGAAGTGCCGGGAGGACGGCAGCATTGAACTCGCCCTCCCACCCCCCTCGGGTGAGGCCTCACACAGACGCCCAGGTTCCTCTTGGCCGGGAGGTGGGAGCTCAGTGCCAAGGTGGCCCATGCGAGCAGTTCCTCCCGACTGAGTGGCCGCAGCAGGTGGAGTTGGTTTTTGAACCTGTTCAGGCGCGTTAGTGGGTCACTGGGCTCCTCAGGGCTGCTTGCGAGGCGGCCAGGGACCTGGCCCCAGTGCCCTGGGTGCTGGCCTGGCCTATGGGCTTCTGAGCAGACTGCGCAGGAGTCAGAACACCTGTTCTCCCCTCCCCACCCCACCCCAGCTAGTTCCTACTCATCTTTCATGGCGCGGCTTGAACAGCCTCTTCCCAGAGCTTTCCTGGGCCCTCCCCCATCCCATCTGCTCCCCAGAGGAGCATCACGCTTCCATGGCCCTGCCGTGTGACTCTCCCTGGGAGGGCAGGGACTAGCTCTGCCCACTGCGGTGTCCCTGCCGGTGGGCACAGGGCAGGTCTGCTCAATGACAAATGGCACTTCCTGGCCCTCCCCAGGCCAGCACAGCAGCCGCCCCTTCCTCTTAGCCACCCTCACAGGGTGGGGGCCGAGCCCTTGCTCCCGGCTGCTCCTTCTGGGAGACACGGACTCTTTGGCCTGACAGCTGTGGCCTCATTTCCAGGGCTATAGCCAGGCTCCTTATTTTTACCCACTGGCATTTTTCATCCCTATGCCTGGAGGGTGGAGAGGGGGCTGGGGGGAGGGGTGTGGACAAATGGAGATGAGCACCGTGGGCTGGAGGAGCTAGGCGGCTGGAGGAGCTAGGCGGCCGGAAGGGAATGTGCCAAGAGGGAGGGGATGGGGTGAGGAGGGCCAAATTAGTAAAAAATACTAATTTAGAGAGGAAGAAAACACCCCAACCCCACCCCCTTGATTTGCCTCAGTAAGCATTTCAGCAAGGTCACAAATGCACTGGCTCTATAGATTTTTCTGGCTCCGAACCACATTTCGGGCAGCCTTTAAAAGCCAATTCTTGGCGTGGCTTCGGCTGAGCCCGAGGAGAGGGAAACTAGGGCACGTCTCTGCTCCGAGAAACACGGGATCTGGGTCACCGCTGAGGCCGTGGGCACCCGCCTTCCCCACGCTGAGCCTGAGCCCCCCTCCCCCCCGCCCCCCATTTCCTCCAGAGCACAAATCACAACACTGGGCGCACATTTCTTCTCACTGGTCACCTGTCTGCCTGTCACTAGATTACCACCTTGTAAAGGCAGGCACCGGCTTTGGGTCCGTGCGTGCCCAGGGCCGCCTGCTCCAGGAAGAGTCACAGGAGGACCCTGCGGGACCGACTCTGCCCTCTGGAATGCTCCGTCACACCTGAGTGCTGCCTGCCACCGCGCCCGGGTCTGCCTCGCACACAGTCCGCGCGTGGTGAGCAGTTCCTGAGAAATCAGAGCCCCGGTGTCCTCCTTGTGGGACAGAACCCAGCTGACTCGTAAGGTCCCTTCTGGCCCCTTGGAATGGAGCCTAAAATGCAGACCGAGACTCTCCTGGTCTCCAAGCACTGCCCGGCTCTGAGCAGCCGTGTCTCACCCCAGCTCCACACCTGACCACACAGCAGACAACGCTAGTCTGGCATCTGGCAAGGTGCCATGCTGCCATGTTCCCGTCAGGAAGGGATGCCTCCATGCCCCACCCTCATGGCGGTCTCTGGGAAGGTCTAGGCTCCCTCACATAGCCCCCTGCCCCTGCCTTCACGGAGGGATGAGGATGTGGCTGCTGGAGAGTGGTGGGGTGTCACTCCTGCCGCCGCCAGTGGGCCCTTGAACCGAGACCGTTACGTGGACACTGGCTCGGTCTTCCTCCCCAGCGTTCACGGCCTGGATTCTGGCTGCAGGGCCGTGTTTCCCCGTGAACAACTGCTCCTCCTGCTGTACCTGAGGGCGGGCACAGGACCGTCCTGGGCCACCAGGCACGGCGCGCTCTGGCCACAGGGACGGGCCCACTGGACCCCCGCTGGGTCTGCTGCTGGGGCTGGGTGCTGAGTGACAGGAGTGGACATGAGCTGCTGGAGTCCCTCCTGCCACCGGGTGGGTGGACGGCCTGCCCAGGATGGGTTGGCAGAGGAGGAAGAGCCAGCTGTGGAGGTGAGGGGGGAGACCGAGTCCTGAGGGCGCTCGCTGCACACGTTTAGTTTTTAATGAGCCGTCCTGTCCCTGATGGAACACCGCCTTTATTTTTTTTCAACATAAGGGTGAGAAATGTTTTTTGGTCACATGCCATCAGGAGTCCTGACTGGGCAGCTCTGAGCAGGGCTGGGGGAGGGGCAGAGGAAGGGAAGACACCTGGGGTCAAGTCTCAGCTTGCTCAGCGGCTCCCTGTCTTACCAATCTCGAGAAAACAAGAGAAGGTACAGTCAGGCCCAACATCTGCTTCTCAGGAGCCGAGCCTGAGGCCGCCTCAGAGGGAGCGAGGGCTGGAAAGGGGAGGAGGGGGCCAGGCCACCCTGCCCCCGGGCCTCCCCTCTCTGGACACTGGGGAGAGGGTGGGTGCTACTCATCACGATGCCATCACAGCTGCTGCGGGTGCTCATGCAGTGACCAGGCCCAGGCCCTTCCAAGCACGTTTGCTAGTCATTTAACCTCCCAAGGACGAGCAGAGATTGTGACGATCATGCAAGGGAACTGCTCAGGACGGCAGCCGCAGGGCGGGCCCCCCGGCCCACTGCTCAGCATCTCTTCCCCTTTCTCCCGAGACGAGATGCGGCCCCTTTGCTCAGAGAGCTGTTGCTCCCCACCCCTCGCGGGCGTCCCTTGGGGCTGCTGCGGCTCCGTGTGAGCCAATCAGAGCCTCACCTGCAGAGACGCGATGGCCATGTGACGCGGTGGCCATGCCTCTGCCACTTGAAGAAACTAAAACAACAAGGCTGACCTCAAACCAGGGTCAAGAAGAGAGACGGCGCCACGGAGAAACCCCCAGGTCCTGGGTCTTGCTGCCCTGGGCCTTGGTTTGGCTGCACAGGCCAGTGAAGGCCCCTTGTTCATTTTGGCGACTTTGACTTGGGTTCCTGCCTCCTGCCACACAGAGTGCTGGCCAACACAGATGACTGGTTCCCGGCGCCCGCGCCCCTGGGACTCAGCCGCGGGGGTGGAGGGGAGCTAGGAGTCTTTGTTCTGACCAAGCATAAGCAGCCTGTGCTAGGTGACCTCCCAGACCCTGTCCAGAGCTGAGAGTAACGATGCTGGGTTTAGGTGGATTAGACTCAGTGTCAGCTCACTGGGAGGCTTAACAAATACCAACCAGAATCAGGCAGGTTTATGGTTAGCTCTCATGAGCTCCTTCTAATCCCCTGGAAAAGCACCACAAAACAAAAAGTGCTAGCTGTACGGAAAAACTGGTCACCTGGGCTCCGTTAAAAATAAAGAACTCCTAGTCATCAAAACACACCATGTAGGGAGCACTCAGGAGTAGAAGATAATTACAGTATATGCATCTGAGAGAGACGCCAAGCCCAAATACAGAAAGAACCTCCACAAATCAGTGAGAAAAACAATGAAAGCCCAGTGGGAAATGACCTGAACAGGCTTATCACAGAAGCGGATCTCCCAACGGTCAACCAGCAACGAGAAGTTCTCCAGCTTCCTTGGTCTTCGGGGGAATACAAATTTAAACCACCAGGTGATACCAGCACCTGACGGAATGGCCCAAACGAAAGCCCGATGACACGAGGGTGGGTGAGGACGTGAGCACCTGGACGCACACACTCCGGTGGGAGTGGGAATCGGTGCAGCAACTAAAGCTAAACGTGTGTGTGGGCCTGACCCAGCGATTCCGAGATCTACGTCCACGGGACACATATGCATGTGTTCACCAAAGACATTCACAACAGTGCCGAACTGAAAACCCGAATGCCCATGGATAGCAGAATGGGTAAATGAACCACGGTGTTTCCATAAGCGGGGTACTCTGCAGAAATGTGAGCTACTGTTACATGTGACACACATGAATCTCACAAACATAAGGTGGGTCAAAAGAAGCCAGACTTTGTAAGGGGGTACAAACCGTATGATTCCGTTTATGTAAAGTTCAAAGCCAGGTAAAATGAACCTAGCAGTCAGGGCAGTGGTTCTTTTGGGGAGGAGGGCAGGGCAGTAACTGGAGGAGACATGGAAGGGACCCTCTGGATGCTCCACTTCTTTTGTTGTTGTTGCTGTTAATCCTCACCCAAGGGTATTTTTTCCCATTGATTTTTAGAGAGAGAGTGGAAGGGAGGTAGGAAGGTGGAGAGGGAGAGGGAGAGGGAGAGGAACATCAATGTGAGAGAGACATCGACCGGTTGCCTCCTGCACATGCCCTAATCGGGCTGGGGATCGAATCCGTAGCCCAGGTACATGCTCTTGACTGGGAATAGGACCAGCGACCGTTTGGTGCGCTGGCCCATGCTCTAAGCACTGAGCAACTTCTTTATCTGAGTGCTCCTTACATGGGTGCAGCCAATTAGCAAAAACTGAGCAGCCACTAAACGGCTACCGAGCTGCAGTGCACGGTGCTGACCGATTTATACGCCTGTCAATAGTGTGCTCGTCAGTGAAAACTCACATGAACAAAGCATCACAGGCTCTGAGGCAGGGAGGGAAGCAGGCTGCCACCTTGCCTTGATCAGGAAAAGGAAAGACAGATCTGGGCACGGAAGCAAAACGTGTTCCGTGTTAAGAAAGAGAGGGCTTTACCAGAGAACAGAGAACAAGCCGGAACGCCTGGGGACACAGCACAGCTCCTGAGCCTGTTCTCTGAAGCAACACGAAGGGCTGGGGGTCCCGTCTGCTGTCTGCTGTCTGCCGACAGTTCTCCCTGCACGGGAAGGGCCAGATACGCAGGCGGCAAGGCGGGGCGGAGCCGCGGGCCCATCCAGGGCCACTGGTTTACCTACGACGAGGCTGAGGGCGTAATGGAGACAGGATCAGGCTACAGAAGACGCTCTCTGGGGGAGCAACAAGGAGGCTCAGAGGGCCCGAGCTCGGGGAAAATGGCCGTGTGTGACGGCTGCAGCTGGGACACGAGACCGCAGCACATGCTGGGGGCGGGGCATGGGGCGCCCTTCCTGAAGAAGCGGAGAAAGAGATGTAAAGCTTAGGGCTTAGGAAAGGTGGGAGGTGAGGCTCAAGGGCACAGGACGCCCGGTGGAGGACCAGGGGAAACGAGAGACTGGCGTGCCCTTGAAGTCCCTCTCAGCTCAGCTTCAGAGATGGCCAACATGGGTTGCTGTGAGCGACTGATAAACCAGAGGGAGAAACAAATAATCTGGGGGGAAGGAGGGGGTGAGACATGTCCTCTTGAGCAAGAGTCAAATTGGAGATTTAGACCAAGAAAGGCATTCACTGTCCAAGTGCCAGGCAGTTCCAAGGAGACTGAGTCATCTAATTTCAGACCGGAAGTAGGCCAGGCTAATGGACCACAGGAGCCTGGAGGGCTGGGGGCCTAGAAAGAAGGCGGGAAGGACACAGATTTACTCAGCCTTTCCCTTCTGCCTGAGAGGTGGCAGCCAGCAGGATGAGCCCTGGAGGAGGAGGAGGAGGGGAAGGAGGAGGAGGAGGAGGAGGAGGTCGTCACACCAGCACGGTGTGTGGGGGTTTCCTGCGGTGAACGATGCTGGGTGAAAGGGAGATGCCATGAGAGAGCCCAGCTTCTTCCCGATGAGGGCTGAGGAAAGCAAAGTCCAGACTGGAAATTGGGTGGTTTTCCCAAATGGTTTCCACCACCACTGTCTGGAAGAGGAGCAGGATCCCGGCTCTGGGTCTCTGGCTGGTGAAGGGGCACCCCTGAGCGTGAGGGAGTGGGTGTAGATGCTCTGGCACCGCAGGGGAATTAACAGAGCTCTCCTGGAGCTGAAGCTGCAAAGCTCTAAAGCAGTGGTTCTCAACCTTCTGGCCCTTTAAATCCAGTTCCTCATGTTGTGACCCAACCATGAAATTATTTTCGTTGCTACTTCATAACTGTAATGTTGCTACTGTTATGAATCGTAATGTAAATATCTGATATGCAGGATGGTCTTAGGCGACCCCTGTGAAAGGGTCGTTCGACCGCCAAAGGGGTCGCGACCCACAGGTTGAGAACCACTGCAGAAAGTCCCATCACTCCCTTCAGAGCCCGATGTCCAGTGGTGCAGGGTGCCCCAGGCCAGGGTCCTCCCAGGCGCAACCATTTGCTGAGCCGAGAACTCTCCTGTGTGGAGGGGCAGCGGGGCTGGGCGCCCTTCACAAACTGCACGTGACAGGCCCGAGTGGGTTTTCTGAAGGCAGAGCGTGCATGCGTGTGTGCATGCATGTGTGTGCATGTGTATGTGTGATCTTTGGGGCCACCTGCTAAAAGAACCCCCATATGGGAGAACACAGGGCCCTCAGGCCGCCCGAGGACACTAAGCTGAGGTGTCCAGGATGAGAGCACCTGCAGTGAGTGAACAGGACACACTCTGTAACTGCTGCTCCGGAGGAGTTGAAAGCACGTTGAAAACTAAGGATGCCCTGTGCCTGTCCTGGCTCAGATGCAGCCCCACCCCACAGGCAGGAGGTGGAAATGACTTCTAGGGGCTGATTCCAATCCTACCACCTGTGACGATGCGACAGTACAATACTCATCAGCCGCTGCTCAGTAACCAAGCTAACTTACCAAGGTCAACGCTGTTTGATTCCTGGCATCCTTAGGTAAAGTATAGACAAATCCAGAGGACTGCAGAGTCTACCCAGAAACTTGACCCCTCAAACTTCAGAAAGAAATTAATTACCAAGTCCTTAGCCCCTGGCAACAGTTCCTGACAATCACGCCCCAGGCCCTGCGGCTGCCTCGACTGCCTGAGCCATGGGCTGGGGAGCTGATGCCTTTCGTTGTTGTTAACCCTCACCTGAGGATATTTTTCCTGGCTGCCTCGGCTGCCTGAGCC